TAAATCAATGTTTAGCTTGTATATTAATCATCCATCAATATATGGTCAATGAAAAACTATATAAGACCGCTGATTCAGGTACAATAGAACTGTGGAACCATTCAACAATGCAGTCAAAACATAAAACTAATGAGATAAAACAAGTTTAAAGAGCATGAAAAAGAAGGCTAGAGTGAAGTGATCCTTCATCTGACCATCTTTAAAATACTCATTGGCAGCGGCAATTCTTGGAACAGAACTTCATATACCAAAACTAAAAGCATAAATGACTTCTATGCAATCAGTTTATTGCATTTTTCCAACCCCAAACTTTCAAACTCTCAGTAAGTTCATCAGATTCAATCGTATTACAATACGAGGGAACTTGTGGACCTGTGGAGTGCTCTTTGGGGGGCTATTTTTCTTCAATTTAACAAATGAAAGAACACTATGAATAAAGAACTATGACTAAAGAGGATAGAGCTCAATGCAAGGAATGGGAAAAGAACGATACAGATTACAATTAAAATTAAGATGAACATCCCCAAACTTTCAAACTCTTTGTAAGTTCATCAGATTCAATCGTGTTGCAATATGTGGGAACTTGTGGACTAGTGGAGTGCTCTTTGAGGGGCTGTTTCTCTTCAATTTAAGCAACGAAAGAACACTATGAATAAATAACTATGATTAAAGAGGATAGAGCTCAATGCAAGAAATGGGAATAGAATGATACAGATTACAATTAAAATTAAGATGAACATCTAAAAGAGGTATATATAAATATATATAGACACTTCTTCAATTAAATTGATCTTTTAAGTTTATAATGTACATAATTCTTTTAGAATGATCTTAATATGCTAAGAAACTTTTGTAAACCACCAGAGCTTGTTCATAGCACGAAAGTTAGGTTTTGAATACAAGTAATATGAGTGTTTAACTGTTAGGTCCAGTTATGTTCCTTAAAGGTTAATTGCAAATGAAATATGGTAACTTGAAAAAAGCATAAAACAAAATACCCAATGAAATATTTTGCGGCTTAGCAACTCTTCAGCAAAAGAATATAGATATTCCTTATATTGTGCCATCTTGACAGCAATATTAAGGTAAGAATTTGCTCGGGAGGCAAGAGAGAAATAGTCTGCTGAGCTGACAATGTCAATGCCATGGGGAAAGTCGCCCTGCCTCCCAATATTTTCTTGAACAGCAGCTGAAGCAGCTCTTCTACAGTTAACCTAGGATCCATCATAAAGGAAATTCAATATATATTATTGTAAAAAAAAACTTACAATAGGAACTGAAAGAATATTGCTTTAGCATTCTGGAAAAAGAAAAAAAAGAGAATATATAGTGCACAATCTTATGTATTTACATGTCCCACGCCTAAACTTTCATATTTACGTACATGGTACTTTAGTGCTATAGACCTATGCAAGAAAAATTCTATTTCCTTTTTAAAAAGTAATAATAGCACTATTTTGTATGTGACATTAAAGATTTGAGGGTTATGTTTGTAAATATGAGAGTATATGTGTGTGATATGTAAATACATGAGAATTGTGTGCTATGTATGTAAATGCCCAAGACAAAAAAAATAAATTAAACAATAAAAAATCACAACCCCTACTGATGACATGGGATCACCTCACGGTCATAACAAGCAACTGTTAGAAGATGTGGGACAAGCTGCTCTAGAATATCCCTCATATCTGAGTAATTGTATGCCCGACCAAATGCCCAACAAACATATGCAGCAGCATCACGTACATGCGAACCAATGCTATGTGGACCTCTTCTGATATCATAATGCAAGGCCTGAAGAGAAATATCTGTTTATCAAATTGAAATTCAAAAACGTGCCACATGTTTAATTTTTTTGATCTGGCAAGCATAAAATATGCAAATAAGTTGTTAATGGATAAAAAAATGCGATTTTCAAAAAACAAGCATTCATTATTGCAATAAATATAAAAAAATCTTACCATATTTTGATGCAAGGCATCAAATTTGCTGGCACAAAATAACAAATGAAGCGAGTGTAAGGACATGCAAAGAATAGAACTCTGAGAGTAGCTCTACAAGACCGAACACTGTAGGAGTATTGCTGATTTCAAACTAATGTTTAGGTTTCAAGCATTATTTTTAGTTTGGCAGAAGCCTTCCAGCTCTTGTGAAGCTGGGCTTGTGATAGAAACGAGAAAAGTTTCCGATAGTATTAGGGTAGAACTAATTAAATATATTCCGCCGGTATCAAATCAAAGTGATACAATCTTATATACATAACAGATTAACACCTACAATTCAAAAGGTATGATATCTCCCAAAACATAACCCTAGGATTCAAGGCAACAATCACATATAACATAACCCTAAATATATTAAGATCTATTTATACTCCACAATAATAACTAAAAAATGACTAAATTGCCCTTTTAGTCTTGCGCCTACATTAGTTTTCAAATTATTTGATACTTGGAACAGCAGGCGCCGGTCTAACATTACTCTGCTCCCAAAAAGACACACTATCCTTAGAGTGAAAGAGAAGAAACTGTTGTCGGATCAAGTCATATGTCTCCCAAGTGACATCATAATCTGACAATTATTTCCATTTAATCAACACTTCTTTTCCACCTATCGATTTTTCGCGCACCTTTTTTAACTCAAGTGTCTCCAAGAGAACTTCCATATCTCCATCCTCTCCGCAGAAGTGCCCAATGCATAAAACTTAACCTATTAGTGTAACCATATTCTTGTTGTGCATAATTCTTCCCAATATTCAATCAATTGCAGCACCCTTAGTAGCTCCCACTGACGGAGCTCAACTGATTGACTGCCTTGGACGACATAAGAACTGCATTAGACAATGGACCTGTCCATAAATATTGTAGCAAGTCATTTGCTTGAATACTTCTAAATTCAACATCTACCAACTTATAGTTCCATACAAGTAAAGTCTCCTGATGCTCAAAGTGACGCCTAGGAGTTCTTTATGTGAAATACTCGAATACATGCTTCATAATGTTAACCCAATCCATGTTAAGATATTTTGACATTGTAGTCATCTGCTCTCCATCTGTAAGAATCAAAAACATTTCATTTTCTGCTATCAGCCACATTGTATTCCCTCAAATTATCATCTATGACGCTTCTGTTACTTACACTAAGAACAACAATGTTGTTTTTGGATCATTGCAAAATGTTGGCAACGGATCTTTTAAGTCTATGTGAAGCTTAAGCTCCATCACCTTAGTTTGATCGCCTCCTCTTCTACCAAAAGTTTTAACTAGCTTTGTTAAGATTGAACTGAAACCTTGGGGGTAGCAGTATGGGTGAACACTTATGAGAGAAAGCCCCGGTTTTAGGTCATTGGATGCTCGTGTTCCCTCAGAGGTACCAACCCAAATGACAACTAATAAATTTCTGCAAATTATTGTAGGAGCAGTTAAATCGATGTCAAAATCTTTGTCAACTTTATAGGCAAGCATTCAGTCGATTTAAATGGTTCATTTTTAGATTGGGCAAACCAATTTCAACCGAAATCCAAAATCCAAAGTACCAAACCAAACAATATTTTCATAAAATCAAATTAGTCAAACCAAAGTTTAATTCGGCCTACACGGTACATTTTTAGATAAACCAAAATATACTTTAAAAGTATAAGGATATGATGATAACGAGTGCAAAAGAAAATTATTGAGTGAGAATTATGTAATGTTGATCACTAGAAAATTTACTTCTAAACATTTCAAAGAAGATTTACTTAAAAAAAATCAGTTTTCGGATCATTCAATTAAATAATACAGTAAAACCGAACCATAAAACGAAAACCAAACTTTAACATTTTTAAAACCATAACCGAAGTAAAACCGAACCATAAAATGAAAACCAAACTTTAACATTTTTAAAACAATAACCGAATTTTTTAAAACCGAAAAGAATCAACAAAACTGACTTATTTTTTTAAAACCGAAAAGAATCAACAAAACTGACTTTGATATGGTTCAATTTTTCGGTTTAAAACAAATAATGCATACCCTTGGCCAAATTCATGTCATGTGTCTCTTCCATGCAATGCAAGTCAGTCGAGAATTTCAACTTTGCTTCCTGTATTGCCCTGATCATGGTCTTGAGTATCATCAATGTCTTGCACAAACTAGGGTCATCACGAAGCACTACCGTCTCATCTCTTTCTTGAGTTTCCAATTCATCTTAGTCTGCCCTAAAGATTGCAACCATTAACGACCCAATATCAGGTCAATGCTCCCTACATCCAAGGGGAAAAATCCTCTATCGCCTAATTAGCTTGCAGTGTTAAAACCACCTCTTTACAAAGTCTCGTGCTCTTCTCCACCTACTCATCTACATTATGACTCTAAAATTTTTTGCGTCAATCATCTCAAGTCCCAATCGCTTCACTACTCGAGTACAGATGAAGTTGTGAGTGGCCCCACTATCAACAAACACCATAAGTCCTCTCTGATTTGTCCCTGAAGTTTCATAGTGTGGTTCGATGTTAACCTCACCACCGAGTTCAATGAGATTTCTGCCACATCCAAGTGAGTGTGTTCCTCCACCTCCTACACCATAACCGCATATGTTTTTTTCATCCCCTAATTCCTCTTTGTTACGCACTATAAAAACTTGTCAGGTCCAATCCTTGCAACTGGTCCCGAGACAAACTTCTCATCACACCGAAAACATAACTTCTTGGCTTGCTTCTCCTAAATCTCTATCTTTGTAAGGCATTCGAATGTTGTCCCTAATAATGGCCCATTATTCCTATCCCACGGAGCCTCCCACTAAAAAAAATCTCATTGTTTGAGTTTTTGGTAACATCATTGTAACATTTCGGTAGACCGCTCCACTTATGTTGCTACTATTAGACTGTTCTATGGCATTTTTATCTTCAA